TAGATAAGATGGACACTATTTGATTTCCAATCTTTATTAACTGGAAACAATGAAGGCTGAAATGCATACAAACAAACTATTAGTAAACTCAGTAATATAATAAATGGAAAAATATGAAATACACAATAAAGAACTAGATCATGAAATACTTATATATGTAAATAAATGAAAGTCACCTCAGGTATAAAAAGTCCTGCACACCTCCTATCAGGGTGAAGTCCAGTGTCTGAATGATTCACTATATAGGCCTACACAGTGTGCATATAGAGAATGACATGTTCTCCAGGTAAGTACTGATGCAACATAGCCTTTGGCTACATCTAACATCTGACTAAGTACTCTTGGTAAGCAATTACCTTTGAATGAAAATTACAGTATGCTCATTATTCTCTATTCTTAACCAACACAAGGCAGGTCAAAACTTCTCCAATGAGTGGTTCTCCTGCGAGTTGGAAGGGGTCAGGGGTTAGAGGGTTGGGAAAACCTTTTAAAGACCAATAATGGGAAGATCTATAATAAATCAAGTTGAAAGAACTGAGAGAGAGAGAGAGAGAGAGAGAGAGAGAGAGAGAGAGAGAGAGAGAGACCTGGCCACCCAGAGTGTCAGAGATACACTGTAACTCATATAGTATATGTATGTCTCTGCTGATTCCAGTTATTTCTAAAATTAAGGGCTGGTTTCACAAAAGAACCTTTTCCAAAAAATCTGTCTGAACTTTAACATCAAATATTTGGTCCACTCCAGTTCAAAAATTCATTGTAGTAGTTTACTTAAATAAAGTACTAGTAGGTGCTGGCCTGAAACATTAGATATATATTTTGTGGGTTGAAGTGGAATAAAAATTTAACATTCAAACCCCCTCCCTCCTCCAGTCCAGTGTTCCAAAACTACAGTAGCCTGTGCATCCCATTTATATCTTACTGTGACTGTTCCTTTAACCAACAGTTAAAATCAGCCTCAACTCACTGACTTAAGTTGTTGATTAAATAAACTATCATAGCAAACTTAACTGACTGTTTCACAAAGCTGATGAAATTCTTTAGAAGACACTCAAGCTTGTTATGAAGACATCTAGTAGTCAACTTCATCAGAAACAGGAAGCTTTCATGTTAAATGCACCATACAGGTGTTACGAGACAAGATAAATGGTCAAGTTAAGTACTTTGGTCAGCGAGGCCCATATTGATTGTCCAAGTCACACAATAAAGTCACACAATCAGACAACAAATAACAATTCAACAAGACATCACTGGACTGGCTTCTGGTCACCATCCTTGGACCTTTAATTATGAAAAGAAATTCTTCTAAAAAGTTGGGAAATATAAAATGACTAAAACAGACTCCTCCAACAGAGTTGTTTGTTTGAAAATCAAATGACCTGGGGGAAGAAAAAAAGCGTCACCTTAAAAATTGACACTTGAAAATTTGTGCCTTTTTTAAATGCCCAATATGACAATGAAAACAGAAAGACACTAGCTTTTGGACAAATACTTAATTATATACATGTACATGCAAGCACTTTATTTCAACCAAAACACAAAGTGTGTGTGTGTGTGTGTGGAAACTTCTGATAAAGCTGATGATGACCAACTTTAACATATGTGACTAATCCCCTTGGATTTAAACTTGACAGTTCCTCTTCAAGACAAACATCCTTAATCAGAATTTATATTACACCAACACCTGGGACGCTGTAATATTAATTCACGTTTAATTTCACGGTTTGCCACTGCCAAGCTCACAGAGAGAATGAGAGAGAGAGAGAGAAAGAAAGTGAACTAAGAAAAGGAACACTGTATAGCCTTGGATACAAACTATTCCCAGTCAATATCTTAATCATATCTTTGCATGTTTATTACTCCAGTGGGAGCTGACAGCTTCCAGATAATCATCATGATCTTGAATTATTAATTACATGACAGATGATACCCAAGCTTACCTACACTGTGACCTGGTGTTGTTCAAGTGACACCACAACATGTTTTCAAAACACCATATATCACTGGATAAAAGACAGCCTACCTGGCTACTTCCAAGGTGTGTTTTAATACAGATTACCTTGGGCCAGTTAAACAAGAAAAATTAAGACTGAAAGTGGGTTTAAACTTTAAGATATAAAGTTGTACTTAACTTGGAGAAAACACTGGGAACAAAAAGGACCAAAAGTTGGACTTAAAAGGACCAAAATTTGCAGTCTAATTTGACTCGGGATAAATCATTGGTAGTCTACTTGAGAATATTGCACCTTTTTCATGAGCAGAAAGAATGACCAGTATTTAAGAACAATATAGTAACTTTGACTGATCATCATTGGACTTATCCTGAACTGAAGTAGATCAATAGTCACCTTATTTAAATAGATCACTACAGATTTTTGGCCTTAAAGTTAAGACCAGCTTCAGGTCAAAAGTCCTTTGTGAAACCAACCCCTGCTTAATAGCCGAGGCATGTGTAATCCATGCTCACCTAGCCCTACACTACAGACACCTGTTGTTCTTCTAAATTCAGTTTACACAACAGGGAGGTGTAAGATATACAAGTCACACAGACTGGAGTTAATCATTAAACAATCTCCTTAATCACATGCTTGGTTGTATTTGAGAGGTTGGGGGCGTGTGCATGGTTGGAAACTAATACCAAGAATACCTTTGAATTCAGGGAATTTTCCTTTAAATTAATATAGATCGATCTATAAATGAAACTTTACAATGACCAGAAAAAAAATAGGAACACCAACTAGAAGTAAATTCCTTTCAAGTTCCAGATTTATTATAAGATTATTTGTTTTTCTTCCCATTTTGTATGTACTTACTTTGCATGTGTATGTGTAGGGGGAGGGGATATTAGCAGGATAAAATTAACAATGCTTGCCATTTTCATGAACAACTCAGTAAAGACTACAAAATAACTTATTAAATGTAATATTGCAGCAACCAAACCTAATCAATCCCAGCAACATAAAGCTTTTGCTTAGAATATTGAATAACAGAGAATATTTACACACCAGGTCATATTTTCTTTGTGACTTATATCTTCCAGTCAAAATCCATGATACAAGAAGAGTTGAACCAGTTATTATTTGCTGACCTTTCTAGCCAATTACCCCTCAAATAGAATCTGTGATAATCCTTGTCAACACAGCACTCTGTGGGTCTCTATGCTTTAATACCCTATTCAGAGGCTGGTCTAAGCATAAACTATAATAATAGTTTATGCAGTAAAATTGCAGCCTGAATGTTGAAGTTGTAGAATGTTAAAAGAGTACATGTACTTGATAGATAAAATTAAATAAGGTAAGAGCTTATATGTTAAAACTAAGGTTTCTTATACACTTGAAAGGTAACACAAACATTCAAAAGACAATTACTAGTATTTATAAACCCAGCAATTTCAAAGGGCCGTTAGCCTGTTAGTTTGAAAGAGTAGAGCTTTTAACCAAGAAACCTACGTGTGTTCATAAGAACCCAAATCAAATTTGAATTTAAGACAGAGCTGATTCTTTTTAAACCCCACACACACACACACACATACAAATATCAGTACAGCCATGAGATGTACCTCTATTGAGTCACCTCTATTTGGTCAAGATTTTTTTTATCAAATTCAAGTTAAATTTATCTGTTTATGGCAAATATTTGTGTTTGAGAGATAGAGCAAGGTTATTCAGAAATGGTTTCAAAGAGCAAGCAAGATCCTAATAAATTCTTAGCATATCATGTCCAAAAACTGTTATCTTTTCAATGACATGTGAAGCACCATAAAAATGATTAACTGATCTTGGAGAAAACATAATTCTCAATAATTCAGGTTCACTATGATTTTACATTACCTTAGATGTTAAGAAGACAGTTAAATTGCATGAAAGCATGAGATATATACATTTATATATTAGTACATGAAAACAGAACACCCTTTTTGGTTTAATAGTTTTAACACATCATTCAAAATTACTCAAATTCATAATTTAAACAATTACCTAATTTTCTACTATAATTTTACTAATACCTTGTTGTTGAAATTGTTTTTGTATTACCTCTCCAGCCAAGATTTCTAAGGACTAAGACTGCATTCACAACCTGTTAATCCATGGAATAACAAATCTGTGGATCAAATATGGCCGTCCCACTTGAAGGCTTGTTGCATAACCCCGTAAGGCTGCATTCAGAACAGTGGACTAACTAGTCCGCAGGTCAAATATGGCCGACCCACTTGAATACTGTCTAAATCTATTCAGTGTCCATTACCGAATTAGATGGCAAGCTTTTTAGTGGGTTGCCATATTTGACCCTCAGATTAGTTAGTCCACTGTTCTGAATGCGGCCAAATAGACACTGAACAGATTTGTCACTTTCAAGTGGGTCAGCCATATTTAATGAGTGGATCTGTTTGTCTCCCAATCAACTTTGATTGTGAATGCAGCCTTAGACCCTGTTCCCATACTTACATCGATCTAGCAGGATCGACCCATCTCAGAAGGGTTTCTCACTAAATTGCTTTTAGCTTAAGTGGCTCTGATGTCTGGCATGCCTAATGGAGCTATTAGGGGGTAATTAACTATCCTTTAGCAGCTTCAGTAGGTGCGTCAGACATATCTGAGCTCCTTAGGCTGAAAGCAATTTAGCAAGAAACCCCTACGAGTAGGATCGATCCTGCTAGATCGATCTAGTTATGGTAATGGGGTCTTAGTGATTAACGGTTAATTAGATCAACATGTTAGATATGGTATATTCAATTATATTCCCAGAAACTTAACTGAATTCATTTTCATGGCTTGAGTTGCATATCATGACTTTCCTTGCTTTTGGAAATTAGGCAATTATTTATCCATCCATAACAATGTATTGTGCATAGTTTACAACATTCTTTATATGGAGTACACTTTTCAAAATGTAAATTTATTCTCAAAGATGCAAATTTATTCTACTTATCACAGATATAAGAAAATTTAAAGAAATATTTAAAAGTTTGTTTTTCTTTTCCATTACTGTTGGGAGGGGCCCTCTTGACATGTAGCTGTATGAACTGGTTGCATGCTTCAGGTGCTTAGATGCAATCAAACTGGCTAGATATGTGATTTGAATTTTGTAGCCTTCAACAAAAATGACATTTAAACTTCTATAATTGAGCAAAGTAAGCTAGACCTGTTTCCTCGCTGTAAGTCTAGCATCTTATTCTCTCTCTTTATTTTCAAATCTAATTTATAAATACTTAAAGGACCTACAAAGAATGCAAAATTCAGAACTTTGGGCTATCAGGATATACATGTACTAGTAGATGTATTTAAAACACATCATACACATCATCAAGCACAATGATTCAAAATTCTGAAAATCAGAAAATTATCTTACTTAACCTAAAAAAGATTTTAAAGTATTTGCCTTGAAAAGTTTATTCTAAATGAGCAGAAATGGAAAAAAATGAAAAACCTCCAGTTTCTCAAAAATGTTTTGTTATTTTCAAGAGGTCTCCAGAAAATATCTAACCTACTTCTTCATCAGTTCATGTCTTCGAAAGTCAATTAACATGGTTTTGTTGACTGTCAATTAAGATAATTGATCAATTAATAATTAATTAATCAAGGTAAAATGTCTTAGGGGGTCGTCCGTTCCACTTGCCACACAAACACGACCAAAAAGACTTTGAACAAGAGATACATGATTTAAAACACATCCTATAGTATTTATAAAAATATTGTCCAAAACAAATTGTAGCAGAATCTTACCCTCTCCCAACCAGCAGTCGTAATGCATCCAAGTTGCCGAAGTAGGCGGCCCAGAGTGTAGGGGTCATTCCATCTTCGTCAGGGGTGTCTGCGTCTTTTCTGGTAGCTTCTCTGAGTAAATCCAAATAACCGTCTCTAGCCGCTTGGTGGAATTTGGTTGCCATATTTAAAAGTACTCGGTTTATCACATTTTAAAGCAGATAAACCATCCCCTACACGAGCGCACTTGCTTTCTAAACTTTCGAGTTTTGACTGCTGGAGGGTTGTAGCTAAAACTTGGATTGTATATCTGAGAAGGCGAAACGATCACATCTGCATTCCAAGTCTTTATTGTTTCCTATTTTTTAAAATTATCAACTCACTCGAACCAATAATTTATTTAAAAATTACTTTGATGCTCCATACAAATTACTGTTTTATACTACATTTGTACGTTTTATTTTTGGTTTTTTTTACCAGTGGGGCTAAGCGACTCTCTCAGTGGCCATGTGACAGGCTGCAAACATGAAAGTTGTAATTCGTGCCCTGTGTCTTTGTGTTTGTGTTTTGCAACAATGTCTGGGACAATATCAGCCCAACTGGGACTCCTTAGACAAAAGGCCTCTCCCATCGTGGTATGACGAAGTGAAAGTGGGCATCTTTATGCACTGGGGAGTATTTTCGGTGCCCAGTTTTCACTCCGAGTGGTTTTGGTGGGATTGGAAAGGAGCGAAGGACACCGATCTGATCAAGTTCATGCAAAGGAATTACCCTCCAGAGTTTACGTATGCCGACTTTGCACCGTCCTTTAAGGCCGAATTCTACGATCCTAACCAGTGGGCTGACATCTTGCAAGCATCCGGGGCAAAGTAAGCAAATGTTCACTTTTCTAGCAGTGTACTGAAAGGGGGAGGTGATGATTGTGTTAGAGATGATCAATGTCCACTCCAAGCAATTTATGAAACATAAAAGGCCACCATCACGTGAGAAAATGCTCAGTGTCAACCATGGCTCTTTCTTATGCTAGGCTTGGGTTTTACATAGTGCTGTTTAGCTTTATAACCTTACAGTCCATTGATAGCAAATATGCACCAACGTGGGATTCGCTGGATAAAAGACCCCTACCACAGTGGTTTGATGATTCTAAAGTAGGAATTTTAATATGCTGGGGAGTATATTCAGTCCCAGCTTGGGGAGGATGGGGCGCAGAGTGGTTTTGGTGGTGGTGGAAAGGTGCTAATCAAACTAAGTACATAGATTACATGAGCAAAACGTACCCACCCGGTGTCACCTTTCAGGATTTGGCTGCCTCTTGGAGAGCACAATTGTATGATCCCAGTGAGTGGGCAGACATATTTAAAGCAGCAGGAGCAAAGTGAGTATAAGACTGCATTCCCACAGATTTTAGATCGATCTATCACCGTGGGGAGTCTCACTAGATTAATGTCGGTTTAGCCGGCTTAAATGTCTGTCCCACCTACTAAAAGCTGTAAGGGGTTAATTAACTTCTGTGCGCCCTCAGCTGACAGCAAATTAGCGTGAAACCCCAGGGAGTTAGGTCGACCCAGATGGATCGATCTAAATCTGTGGGAATGCAGTCTAAGACCCCTTTCTTGTAGATACCACCGGTCTACGTAGATCGATCCACCTCTGCAGGAACTCTTGCTCAATCATTGAGCTATGTTTTATACACATGTAGGTGAGACCCTGATATTGCAGGTGCAATCAGCATCCTTTTTCACATATATCTTTATGTCTTTTACGTTGTCAAGTCAACGTCCTCATCAACCAGTCAGAGAGAGTGAAACAATTTTTGTGTCAATGTATCATGTAATTGAATGCAGTGATGGCCTTATGCTGTAGTAAGATAAGAAACCCAAAGTGAGAGAGCACTCGGCTGCAATGATTGTTGAAGGTAAAGGCCATAAAACATAAATTTTACATTAAGTTAATTTCCCGTATTGTATTGCAAATGTATGGTGTTCTATTTTAAGGTGTCATAGCTGCTGTCTGCATGATGTGCATTTTTTGTTAAATGAACCTTTACCTTAAGATGTTATATGAAAATAATTTGTTATTATTCAACAAAATCTTTTCCAATTTAAGTATTTATCAGTGCTTTTCCAGTTGAATGTATACTGTAGTTATAACTGACGACCAGCATCCCTTATCCCATATTTAAATGATGAATAGCTTTTCAGCATAATGTAGAATTTACAACATACTGTATACAATATATGACAATTGTGACTGAATACATATTCCTTGTAGTTTAGAGGTATAAGTTCAATGTTTGAAACAGTACATAAATCAAATGTGTAAGAGGGTGGGTGGGGTTATGGAGAATTGTAGAGTCAGTTGATGATTTATTTGTCCATACTGTGATTTATATGATTTAGATAAGACAATTGAGAGAGAGAGGGTGAGGGAGAACCAGTCGTACAGTGTTAACTTACATTATATTCTAGTAGGATGTATATGTATTTTGAAGGATAAACTAGTTCATCTCTCTTTACATAAAGACTGTTTCAGCTAAGACTGTCATTGTTATTCCAGGTACGTGGTGCTCACCAGCAAACATCATGAGGGTTTCACACTGTGGCCATCCAAAGTGTCTTGGAACTGGAATGCCATGGATGTTGGACCAAAGAGAGATCTTCTAGGTTACTTTATATCATTTGTAATAATTAGTACCACCAGCGTGTACGCTGGCGGTACTCATGGTTTTAGTCCCGACCCGTCTCGTACAGCTCCGCCGGCTCCTGCGGCTCCGCAGGATGACGTGGGATACGAGTCACCGTTACCGCTTCTCCTCCTAGACCGCAAGGACCTGTGTCCCCATCTCTTGGATTTGGGTCACATATAATCTCAACTTGAACCCCCAGGTTTTTTTGTCTCAGTTGGTGCATTGACCTGGGCGTGACGCTCGTTGAAATGCACCCTTGTCAAAAATTTTGAAAATTCAATGCTAAATATCTCCCAAACCAATGGAATTATGGGAAAAATTACTACAGATGGCTGACCAAAAGTCACATGTGAGGATTTCAAATGTGCCCTTGGATTTGCCCTTTGACCTTTATTTCAAGGTCAAACGGGCCAAAATTTTCTAAAAATGGGAATTTTTTGCGAGAAAATTTTTATTTCAGCCGATATTTAGAAACGAAACATATCTTACCTATAATATTATGGGCAGGTGTTACCCTTAGGGTCATCTTTCATTTTCGTGAGTTTGGGGTCAATCGGTGCATTTTCATGGTAGTAGCGGCCATTAGATGCTGAAACTGAAAATTCTCTCTAATTCTGGAACCGTTAATGCTAGAGACCTCTTGTTTTTT